TGGGGAAAAACGGTGAAAAAATGGGGAAAAACGGAGAAAAAATGGGAAAAAAGGGAATTCCGGAGTGTGGGATGGGCGGCATCGGCCCCAACGTGCTGATGGTGCACAAGCGCAGCCACACCGGTGAGGGGATGGGGAAAAATGGGAAAAATGGGAAAAAATGGGGAAAAACGGCAAAAAAATGAGAGAAAACGGAGCAAAAATGGGAAAAAAGGGAATTCCGGAGTGTGGGATGGGCGGCATCGGCCCCAACGTGCTGATGGTGCACAAGCGCAGCCACACCGGTGAGGAGATGGGGAAAAACGGGAAAAAATGGGAAAAATGGGGAAAAAATGGGGAAAAACGGTGAAAAAATGAGAGAAAACGGAGCAAAAATGGGGAAAAACAGAGCAAAAATGGGAAAAAGGGAATTCCCGAGTGTGGGATGGGCGGCATCGGCCCCAACGTGCTGATGGTGCACAAGCGCAGCCACACCGGTGAGGGGAAAAATGGGAAAAATGGGAAAAATGGGGAAAAATGGGGAAAAACGGGAAAAAATGGGGAAAAACGGTGAAAAAACGGGGAAAAACGGAGCAAAAATGAGAGAAAATGGAGCAAAAATGGGGAAAAAACGGGGGTAAAACAGATTAAAACCGGGGATAAAATGGGAAAAAAACCCCTTGGAATTCTGGAATTCCCATTGGGATTTTGGTGTTTCCAGGATTGGTAGTTGTGGGTTTTGGGACCCATTTCCATGGGAATTTTGGGAATTTCGGGAATGTTTTCCAGAACGGACGTTCCAGTGCCAGCAGTGCTGGTTTAGGTTAGAATTGGGATTATTTGAGATCCATTCCCATGGGAATTTTGGGATTTTGGCGTTTCCCATGATTGGTATTTGTGGTTTTCGGGCTCCGTTCCCATGGGAATTTTGGGAATTTCAGGAATTCCAGGACTGTTTTCCAGGAGAACGGCCCTTCCAGTGCCAGCAGTGCAGGCTCAGGATCAGGGTCAGGATCAGGATCAGGATCAGGGTCGGGATCAGGATCAGGGTTCTTTGGGATCCATTCCCATTGGGATTTTGGCATTTCTCAGGATGGGTATTTTTGTTTTTCGGGACCCGTTCCCATTGGAATTTCGGGAATTCCGGGACTGTTTTCCAGGAGAACGGCCCTTCCAGTGCCAGCAGTGCAGGGTCAGGATCAGGCTCAGGATCAGGGTTGGGATCAGGGTCAGGGTTCTTTGGGATCCATTCCCATTGGGATTTTGGCATTTCTCAGGATGGGTATTTGTGTTTTTCGGGACCCGTTTCCATTGGAATTTCGGGAATTTTGGGACTGTTTTCCAGGAGAACGGCCCTTCCAGTGCCAGCAGTGCAGGCTCAGGATCAGGGTCGGGATCAGGGTCAGGGTTCTTTGGGATTTTGGGGTTTCTGACGGATCTCATGATGAGGAATTGTGTTCTTTGGACCCATTTCCATTGGAATTTCGGGAATTCCGGGACTGTTTTCCAGGAGAACGGCCCTTCCAGTGCCAGCAGTGCGGCGCGTCCTTCACGCAGAAGGGGAACCTGCTGCGCCACATCAAGCTGCACTCGGGGGAGAAGCCCTTCAAGTGTCCCTTCTGCTCCTACGCCTGCCGGCGCCGCGACGCCCTCAGCGGCCACCTGCGCACCCATTCCGGTGGGAAGCCCGGAATTCCCGGAGCTCGGGAATCACGGCGGGAAAACGGCCCGGCGAAGCCGTTGGGGTGGGAAAGGGAATTTGTTGGGTGGGAAAGGGAATTTGTTGGGTGGGAAAAGGGAATTTGTTGGGGTGGGAAAGGGAATTTGTTGGGTGGAAAAGGGAATTTTTTGGGGGGAAAAGGGAATTTGTTGGGTTGGAAAGGGAATTTGTTGGGGTGGGAAAGGGAATTTGTTGGGTGGGAAAGGGAATTTTTTAGGTTGGAAAAGGGAATTTGTTGGGTGGGAAAGGGAATTTGTTGGGTGG